AAAAAACAAACAGAGGTTCGAATCAAAAGGGGAATTCTAGGGTGGTTCCCTCCGTTCAGGACGTCTTGAGGGGCTAGTTGGTTCATTCTATTCAGGTAAAAATTGCGCTGAAATAGAAAGGACACCACAAAGAAGGAACACCACAAAGAAGGAATCTGTTTGAGTGTGATCTGTTTCAATCTGTTTCACCACTGGAAATGCCGCAGGGCAAACACGCATTCGCCCATTCCAAGCCACGTGGTCTCTGGCCAAGTGCCGCCGACGGCTGCACGGCCTTCCCAATGTCGTTCAGGAGGGAGGTTGGCGTTCGGATGAAGCAGAGGGGGTGTCCGGTTATATGCAGCGTCGAATGACCGGTTCCGCGGGAGATGCACCCTGCGAAACGTGCGGTTCTTCTTCTTCTTCTTCTTCTTCTTCTTCTTCTTCTTCTTCTTCTTCTTCTTCTTCTTCTTCTTCTTCTTCTTCTTCTTCTTCTTCTTCTTCTTCTTCTTCTTCTTCTTCTTCTTCTCTTCCTTCCTTCCTTCCTTCTTTCTTTTTCTTTTCTTTTTCTTCTTCTTCTTCTTCTTCTTCCTCTTCGTCCGCGGTGGATTAGGTTCCCACACGCTGACGTGGTGTGCCACCGATATGATAGAGGAGCGATGTCCATGCGATTTCTTCGTACGTGTGTAGTTCAGCTTTTGTTCGACAGTATAGGGTCTTGTCAATGTGCGCGCCAGATAACACACGTTATCTACTGCGATGTACACCTGTGGGGGGGGGGGGGGTTGCACGGCGTGTGTCGCCTAACAGACGAGGAGAAATGAAAGCAAAGCCTGTCAAACCTCGAGAAAAAGAGAGCGAGGGACGCCTCATTCTTTATATCTTTGGAAGTTGGTGGAATATTTGTGAACTGCGAAACTCATCTATAACGAAGAACTCGGCCACTTCCATACACAAGGTTAAGAATGTCACTTAATTCACTGTCCTGGCCTTAACACTCGCAGAAGATGAGGAACGTAAAGAATAATTTGTTAATCAGCCTCCCCCTCATTATAGTTATGGTCTTTGTAGACCGTCCCACCACACTTCTTAACGAAGCTCGCGAAAGACAACGTAATCGTTGATTTCACATAGATCTCGTGAGTGTAGCGTTTCTCAAAGAAGAGGAAAAAAAATTAAGCGCAACAACTTCCCACCTACGAAAGGCTAGGTCAATATTTTCCAAAACACAGCGGTCAAAGCTGGGCCAGTAACCTCAACTTTGCACTAACCAAGAGAAGGCGCGACATGCATGTTTGTGTACGTGGCGTCGCACGCTCACGAGTTTTCAAAAGTGCGATGACCGAACCCCGCCGCCTCCACTGCCAGAGCTGCAGCTTAGCTTCCTTTCGCGTGCACGGCTGGCTAGGATTGCCAAGCGTGTCGTGCCCCCAAGAGACGAGACGAGAGGCGGCCTGACAAACCGAAGTCCGGAGCGTCCGCGAGCAAATGTGATTTACGAAGTTAAGCGACGGCGACGAGAGCCTCTCTCGATATGGCCGCCCTGTAATTAGGGTTGCGAACGCGAGCCGCACAGAACTCGGCTCGGAAACCTTTCGTTTGCGAGACTGGCCGTCGCTCTATAATCAGATTTCCGGGGAAAAAAAATGTCTTTGAGATGGGGCCTTTCCTGAGCCGCCGCTTGCGATGAAAGGAGCTACCGCCTACGTCGCATTTCCAACTCGAAGAGTTTTCCGACGGAGCTTTATTCCGCTAAAGCGCGAACTAACTTCAATTGAAGTTCTCGCCGATGCTTGCTCCTCGATTTCTGTATGGCCTCAAGACTAATGTAACATTGTCTATAGGTGCACACTCCACACTATGACTGTTATAACTGGAACTTAAAAGGATACACTTAAATTGCAGTCTGGCTATATGACTGAAGAGCAGTCATTAGGGGCATTTTAACGTGATAGTGTTAAAAACCTTGTTTCGCTGAAACGCCGGTGTCGGCGTCGTTGGTAGTAAGCGAAAAATTATCATCTTGTGCGTGACCAAAAAAATTGAGAACGACGCAAATTAAATAATAAAAACAAATTCTAAGTGAGAGTGGAAATCAAACCCGCATTGTTTCGGTCCGAATAGAGATCAAACCCGGGTTGTTTGCGCGGCAATCGAATGTTGTATTACAGTCAGTAAGTCGGTCAGTCAACCAACTTATTTGGGTTTCAAGGAACTACAGAGTCGTATAGTTGCGGGCCGCGCCCACGTTGGGGCCGGAAGAACATGGTCCGCCACCCGTTCGTGGGCCTTTTGACAGCCCTTAGTTGCTTATAAAGATCGCCGTTTCTGAGGGCTATCCCTCAGTCCTGTTGTTTATTAAAATACGCATCTTGTAACGTCGAACATCCGAACACAGTGAAAATAACTTCCTCAGCTTTGAAATAAAGTGAAAGTAACTTCCATGATTTACGAACACACGCGTCCCGTATACATGCTTCACAGTGCAACAAGAAATATCGCAATAATATTGCGAGGTACGAGCGCACACTGCCATCGGGTGTCAGAACATGACAATCACAATGACTTCTTGGTTTGAAGCCGGTCAACGACTACCAAAGGCACACGTGTTACTGCGCCCATTCTCCTATGGTGGGCGCATAGCAGGTTCGAAAAGATTTCATGCACTAAGAGTTTGAAGTACGTACTCAGTACAAGGTATCGCTATCGTGTTTAACTCTTGAAGGCGAAGCTTAAAGGTCCCCTAGCTTTGTTGCATGTTGCACGGTACAATCGCGTTTGTACTTTTTAAGCACGGAGCTTTTAAGCACAAAGGGGGAGGGGTTAAGTGGGGAGCCGACTTCGCTTGGCGTAACGTTTAATGTGTTACAGCACATTTAGCACGCGCTCGCGCCAAGGAGAAGTTTTCTTCCTCTTGTCCGGGTGCCTTGATGATGATAATTTATTATCAGCAGCAAAAACTAACTAGTGCACTGGCCGCAACATAGGCGAAACCACGTATAAAAATAGAAGAAAAGAGAGGAAGCAAATGTGATATGGACGAGAGAGAGAAAGACAACAACTAGAAAGAAACACAGAAACAGCAACAAAGAGAGGAAAGTAGATGAACAGAGACGAAGAAATAAATAGAAATAAAAAGAGATAAAAAACGCAAAAGGATAAAAATAAAGGAAAGAGAGGAGGAAGAAAAATGAAAACAGAAGAGAAAAAAAAAACAAAGGCTGCCCAGCTGCGCATTTTCTTTAGGTTCTGAAGACACGATACAGAACAGAACAGCGCCCCGCCGTGGTGGTCTAGTGGCTAAGGTACTCGTCTGCCGACCCGCAGGTGGCGGGTTCAAATCCCGGCTGTGGCGACTGCATTTCCGATGGAGGCGGAAATGTTGTAGGCCCGTGTGCTCAGATTTGAGTGCACGTTAAGGAACCCCAGGTGGTCGAAATTTCCGGAGCCCTCCACTACGGCGTCTCTCATGATTATATGGTGGTTTCAGGACGTTAAACCCCACATATCAATCAATCAATCAATCAATCAGAACAGCAACTAGAACGCTTTGTTCTTGTTTTTAGCCAATCATTGTAAATGGTTAGTGTCATCGATACTTGGCGAAATATAGAAGATCAAGGACACTTCACATGCCCACATGTGTTGCATTGGAAGCCCCTGTCGAGGTTTGATCATCGGATTATTGGCTTCTTTCTTTACACGAGCAGAAGTTCGATTAAGCATGTCGTGGTAGAGAGAACAGCGAACCAGAACTCGGTTTATTTTGACCACACGATATTTTTTTAAAATTAACACAACAGGAATAGTTGATGACTGGGTCATTTAACCCTAATCAGTGGAGAAGATGCGAACAGCTGGCTGGTCTCATCAGGCACGATTACAGGCAATGAGCACCTTCCGGCGTGGGAGTCCCAGTTATTTTCAAGTTGCAGAGCACAGCCAATATGTAAAATCAGAGGCGTGATGAAGTTCTGGCCGGTGATTCAAGGATAGTGTCAATTAACAACTTTATCCTTTGGAAACAGCAGTATACGAGATCGAGTCTCGCACGAGTCAACACCACAGTGTTGCGTTCACCTTCTCGACTCCAGGCCCATAAATATTCTTTCCAGATATCGGCCTGGGTAAGCGTTGGCTGTATTAGAAAACCGTATCAAACTTTTCTTTACCAAATTTAGGCTTTGTTGTTTTTGCTCTCGTTATTAACTTCCGAGATTCAATTTTCTGACTATTTGCGATATTCAGAATAATGCTCAATGACAGAACACGCAAAAAAAAAAACAACGAAGTCATGTTGTTGTTCTTTTTTTTTTTTTTGCCATGTTCGGAGTGCTTGTAACCTGCAACGCCTTCACGCGAAAACATTGCCGTAAAATCAACTCCTTATTGTAGCGTAATCAATAATATTCAACTGGAACTTGCATATTTATCAAAATCCAACCGAAACATTTTTCACTTTATTGGGAGTTAAGCATCGGTGTGCGTTCATGCGGCGTGCTCTTCCACAAAATGTTATATCTGCCAGCTTCGCTGAACGCTTCCTAAGTCTTCATACAAGCACACCGTATGCGCCACGCGAGTTCAAACGCAGCGCCGGGCACGCTTTGTTGGAGCTATGGCAGCTAAGGTGATGTATATAAGTGTTCATAGTGGTCACGTGCCGCCTCCTCAAAAGGACATTGCTGCATTCTGGTCCGCATGCATGGAGACTTGACTCGTCCGCTTTTTCCTCGCTTTCTTCGTCTCGCGGAGCCAAGATTTTACGGCGTCCCGCGATGTCCTTTTGTTGGACTGTCTGTGCCGGACAGCGGCGTACGGAAAGCGGTGTGTGAACACAGGTACACGTGGAGAGGATGAGGTTGAAGGAGGGAAAGTTATACGACGCGTTGTATTGATGAGCGGCTGTAAATAAAAGGGGGAGGAAGAGCAGAGGGGGGTAGTAGCAGCTAGTACACCTCGTCCGGCCGTCCTCAATCAGCCTCTGACATTCTCGCGCCTTGTCTTCTTTTACGACGCAGGCGGAACTCAGTCTGCAAGGGGATGACTTCACCCGGCAGATGTGGCACATGTACAACACTTTCGAGGACGTGGTCGTGGGAGGAACGCTGCCGCCTACTGACCAGCCGGCCGCCGGTGACGCCCAGCAGCAACAGCAGCAGCACACCTTGCCGCCGAGTCAACAACCGCCACCGCCAGCAGCAGCCGACGACACTGCAGCTCCTGCCGCCATCGCTGTCGGCGGCCTGCGCGGAGACGACGCTGCCACCCCGGCACAGACGACGGCCGCTCCGCGACCGCCGAAGCCCGTCCGCATCCCGTCGTCGCCCGACGTGCGGCGAGACGCGTCGTCGCCGACGGCGTCGCCCGGCGCCCGCCGGAAGAAGAGGCCAATGTCTCAGCGCTGCTCGTACGCTGCTTGCGGTAGCAGCGGAAGCAGCACCAGTAGTAGCAGTAGCGGCAGCCAGCAGCAGCGAAGCTCCCTGTCTTCCTCCGGCAATCCGCTGCTGGACACGATTGGCTCCATGACGTACGACCCTTGCTGCGAGTCGGACGACTACTACGACCTCGCCAGCGTGTACCTACAGCGGCGCCAGGCGCGCCAGCACAGCGACGGCGAGTCCATCGCGTACGCGGGCTCTATCGACAGCGGCTACAAGAGCCTGTGCCCGACGCCCGAGATACCGGACTACGATGCCGAGGCCAAATCTTCCAGTAAGGCTGCCGTCGCTCTGGCACAACCCTCTACGGCCGCCGCGACGTCCAGGCTCGCAGCACCTGCTTCCGCGGGAGGACAACAGGGCCACAAGCCGACGCAGGAGGAGCTTGACGCCGACCTGGACCACCTGATGCAGCTGCGCCAGTCCCTGCTGACGGCCATTGCTCGTTGCGAGTCACCGGTGAGTCCGAAGAGCAGTAGCAGCAGCCCCCGTGCGGGCTCGGCGGGTGACAAGACGGTGAGGTTCAGCACCGAGAAGCTGACCTCGGCGCCCTCGTGCTCGCCGGCCAAGGCACCCGGAACGCGGGCCAAGCCTATCCTCAAGGACCCGCTTTGCGCCAATCTACGTGCCAACCTCGAAAGGCCCGACAGTGGTGGGACCTTGGAAGAAGAGATCGACAGCCTCCTTTGTGGAGGCAAACCCGACTACTACGACCTGGATGCCCGGTTCCCGCCGTCAACGTACGTGACCATGGTTGAGGAGAAGTACCGCTCCAACGCGGGATACAGCGTCGCCAAGGTCAAGTGCTTGAAAGGTGAGTCACCGGCGGCTAAACTCGTTTCTTGATCACCAGCTGGCATGTGTAAGCCATTGCCACGACATCGGCAATTCTTCATTTTAGTTCTTAAGGCGAGGAAGTAAAATTCAAAGAACATTTTTGTTTCACGAATCAAGCTTCTCAACTGAATGTCAGGATTAAGTAAAAAAGCACTATATATTAATGCAATTAGAAAGTGCATACCAGCAAATCTGCAGTTGATGTCATCCTATGGCAACTTTTATGATGCTGTTAGCCTTTTCACGGAATGCTTCCTTAAGTAATATCTTACCCAGAGACTAGTTCTTCTACCAGGTTAAGCTTCCTCTCTCTTCCTTTTATTTATACATTTATCTGAGGTAACAAAATGAATGAATGAATGAATGAATGATATAATTAACTACCCATCACGGAAAGAAAGACATTCGACAGATCCCACGTATGTACCTTGGGAATCGACATTATGCGAAACATGTGGAGGGAAGTTGACTGTGCCGTAATTTTTTTATTGAGCAACACGACATAAAATGACGCTAACTATATGTACAAATGTTGCACGCTTAGACATATGTTGAACATTTGCAGATACTTACATAGGCAGTTGTTCCCACTAGCGCAACGATGTCAACTGGAACATGAGTATTAGCAACACCCGAAGCGACAAGCTCATATGAAGCGCTAGTGCTCGCGAAGATCGTAGGCCTGGGTACTGCTACATGAATCAACTTCAGCGAATGTCACCTAACGACAATTGACGTTCGCTCGACGTGACAGCTGTGTGATAGGAGTACGTATGCAATGTTTATAAAATGGGATACTTCATTGCCATCCAGAATGCTTGGTTTCGATTCCTGCTTGGACACTGTCACTGTGACATTTATTCTTTGCATTTGTAGGGTCAACAATGCCGATGTCACTTTGCTCCTTATGCTCACGCGTCAAAATTACCCATGTGTGTTCTCACCGTTCCTCGGTAGATACTAAGTGCCTATCACCTGTGGCACATACCCGTACACAGTGGCACATGCCCGCGGGTGGATATATGTGCCACTGTCTGGCGGGAAGTGCTTGACGACGTACGTGACGTGATTGTGACACTATTCATATCTTGACCCGCGTGCTATATTTGTCGAACTATCTTATCCTCCTGTTCTAATTTTGGTTCCCGCCAAGTTAAGGGGGTAATCACGAGAACACCCAGACGTAAGCGGATAGATAGATAGATAGATAGATAGATAGATAGATAGATAGATAGATAGATAGATAGATAGATAGATAGATAGACGGACGGACGGACGGACGGACGGACATACATACAGACAGACAGACAGACAGACAGACAGACAGACAGACAGACAGACAGACAGATAGATAGATAGATAGATAGATAGATAGATAGATAGATAGATAGATAGATAGACAGATAGATAGATAGATAGATAGATAGATAGATAGATAGATAGATAGATAGATAGATAGATAGATAGATAGATAGATAGATAGATAGATAGATAGATAGATAGATAGATAGATAGATAGATAGATACGCCAAAAGTGCTTGCAGTATGCAAAAAATGCTTCGCAATTAAAAGAGGGAGTTGCGTTAACACCTTGTATGCTTTTTGTATGCGCAGATAAATGCCAAGAGACCTCCAAAGACCATAATAACGCAGCGTTGACAGCCGAACCAAGCCGACGTTCTCAAAGTCACAGTAGGCAACAGCACCAAAAGCCACAACACCACCAACTGGATACCATACCACTGGCAATGGGCACGTACAACCCCCCTATTGCTCCTATTGAGCCAACTGTTTCGCGCTCAGAGAGGAGTGTCACTGGCCACCCTGTACCCGCACCGCGCGTTACAGCCACTCACGGCATGACCGCTGCCGGCAGTGTGAAGCCGTGTTCTGTCAAGCCTACCATCATGCGCTCTGCCAAGTCACGCTTCAACGAGGTCGCCAAGTGCATGCTCGAGATTATCGAGGACCTTCAGCACAAGAAGATCACGGAGCCTCGACCAGCGAAGATTTCTTCCAGCAAGCTGTCCGTGACGGCTACAACAGCTGCCTCGTCTGCATCGCAGCCTCTACGGGACACTCACATAGGTGGTTCCAGAGGAGGGCCCACAGCGGTGCAGTCACAACAACAGCAGCAGCAGACACAGAGGCCACTCTCAGACTCGGAGTACCACGTCTACGAGGAGGTCTTGTACGACTTTGTGAATTCGGCCGGGAGTGTGACGTCAGAGCTTCAGCGGCCGCCCCCGCCACTTCCGGCGAGGCCCAGTGAACCAGGCCACCGACCCAAGCAGAGGAGCAACCTGTACTCTCTTGTACGCAACCAGGAGGAGAGGCGCAACATATCGAAGTCGCTCGAACAGGAATGGTCCGGTGACCGGGCAGGACGGTTGGAAGACGAGTACGGGTTTCGCTCTGTGACCAACTCTTAAGACTATGTGCGAGCGTCGTCAGGTGGTCAGGACTATCTGGCTTCTCATGGGTGACCATCCGGATTCGACTGTGCACGCGTCAGTGTAGGGACATTCTGACGTCATACATCGCACTACCCGGCTGAAATTGAGGAGCTCTCGCTGCAGTCAGTCGTTGGCGTGAGAGCTCGCGCATGGATGTGAATACAAAGCGACGCTGGACTTGCGCGTGTGTGCAACCTTTGACAACATAGTGACTTCCTCGGACTACGCGAGTGCTCACATGAGTGCGTTTATCAAGCGCATCCTCTTAAAGACTAATGGGTCAAACAAAATATTTAAACCTCTCAGGGGATACAAAAGCCCATGTGTTCATATGTACTACGCTTTGTGCATTGTGACTGCGGAGTATGGGCAAACGGTGAGAAAAAAAATGAGGCAATGTCACTGATGTGGGCATGCTCCCTCTTCAATTGTTGTGGCCTCACAAATAATGCACGCGGACATGCTACCGAACGTTTTGGCCAACGTTAGTATTTAGATATATATGGCTTGTTCATATAGTTGTGGCCAAAACTTACGTAACAGGGAAGGAACCTTGTTGAAATCTTCAGTGTTCTCCAATTTTACTGAAATATTTGTGAACATATCAATTGCGAATTAGAATTGAGTTGAGAGTGCACATTTTTAGCCGATTTATGTGGAGTTGAATGTTATGACAGTTCATCAACACAAAATATTCGGCAATTACCTGAGCACTTTTCTGCACAATCATCAGCACTGCAATACAGTTCAGATAATCTGTTTCTTGTTGGAATCCTCCCCGGCGCATTAGTTTTTGTTTGGCCTTGAAATATATCAGCAATGTGTTGCCATATTTGCAAATGAGATGCGCTGATTATCTCGGCAGCTCGGTACAGGCACCTTACAGAAAAACGTGAACTTAATTAGTTGCTTTCAAGCAGAAATAGTGGCTCTCAAATAGCATCGACAGTGCTTAATCGTCTCATGACGTTTTATGCCTCAGAAAATAGTTGAGAGCTCGTAGCCAGTGTGTCTGAATATTGTTCGAACTTTTTATGGTCATTGCAGCATTGACAACTTGGCCGAGCTTGTCTTTTCGTATTTTCTGGGTGGCATTTGTTTTGCAAACATGAGAACACGAGACATTTGGCTGCTATCAACCGCACGCTGTAAAAAAATTTTCAGAACAACCCTGAGTCAGATTTTCCAAGCAAATCAGTGCTGGAGGCAGTGCTTTCCTGTGAGTTATGGTGGTTAGCCGAACTATCTACGGATGTTAATTGCATTAGAGAGGCCTAAGTGATATTGTAATGGGAAAAAATGTAGTGCTCATCACCTCTATTTCATCAGGCCCCGAACTAGACTGACACAAAAATACAATGTCTTAGTTTCCATACTGGCCCTTTAAAATCCATGATCTCACCTCTCGGACATCACCACGAGCAAACGGGGTTGAAATTCATGAAGTGACCTCGTATCGAACCTTTCACACCATATCTACAACACTAACTCTGGTTCTCAGAACATCATAGCAACCATATAGTGTGGTCTCTTAACCACACGTGGTCTCTTAACCACAAAGTGTGGTCTCTTAACCACAAAGGTTCGTCACTATGCTCGGTTACGTGAAACGATGGTGTCTCTAGTAGTCAGCTTGGTGCTGTTGTAAAGATACGTAAACACCATCTTTATCGCGTTGCGGAAGAGGTCATCTACTGCACACACAAAAGCGTATAGGGCAGCTCCGGGGTTATCAGCTCACAGCTTGGTGATCGGGCGTTATCGTCTGGTAGCTCAGTTATGTGTCACTGCCATATTGCTCTTTTTGAAAAACGTTTGAAGCTTTTGCAACGATAGTAGCATTTGTGCAAGCCTATACAACAACAACCTTGTCGGTTAGATAAATAGTTGGTGTTCCGAACTTCGATGTCTGTCAGTACAGTCCTAAGCATAATATCACAGATACCGAATAACTATCTCCAAGAATCATTGCACAACTTTTTTTTTCTGTAATGTAAGGGAGATTTATGCTAAAGTACAGAAAATGTAATTATTCATACATACCCTTTAGTATAGCTCATCATCGCAAGCTACAGCCCATGCAATCGCAGTTACACAATGCGGTGATTTCGAATCGATACTTAATATGCAAACCAGAAACGCTCTGCGTATTTGCTATTTAGTTCAAAAAAAAATGGACACGTTCACCTTCAAAACTGCTTTATCAGTAATTCACAAATGGCCACAGAAGTGTTGAGGTGGTAGTCAAAACTTAACGAAGTGTGCCGCTTCAACGTCTACGTTTTAAGGTGCGTAGTAATAGAACTGACCGCACGGTCGATGCTATTTTCAACGCAGGGGTACATGTCTAAAAAACAAAGAAAAAAAAAGTTGACACATTACATTGTTACTCTACACACTCAAATTAAGCAAATTAGCACAAAGTATGTTCTCAACGCAGTCACGACTGTGTGCCTCATGCAAGATAATCAGTATAGTTTTTCCTATTTAACCTAACGTTATTGTTGTCAAGCTTGATAGCTAGCACGCACATGCCAGACACTGTGAAGATTTACTTCAAACGGGCACAGTGGCAGACTACTGTGGTACTGCGCTCCTTCAAAACTGCTTATCTGTCTCATTGGTCCGCACGCAAGGAGGAAATTGTTAGCCGTGTAATCTGAATGACGACTGCCAAACTATACTTCCTCGACACCTTTTGTGTGGGGACTACAGTGCTAATTACTTCAACATGTGATATTCTCAGTTGAAGATTTTTTAGATTTTTTGTTTTTATGCAGAACACTTGTGAAAGTTTTACTGTTTTTTTTTTGCGTGCTATTACGCCTGCTACAGTTATAAGCACACGAACTCATCAGAACATTTTAAAGTTTGACGGAATGTGGACCTGTTTTCCAAGTGTAGTTGTAACATACTTCATCAGGTAACTGTCCCGATGCATCTTGCCGTATCACACTATGGGTATAGAAAGCTGCACCAATGACCTATTAGAAATAAGCAACTATTAATAGCATATTTACAGCACACATTAATCTAATTCTTCGCTACTCATTAAGCATTCTTATCCTTCTTTATGATAGTTGAAACAAAAGCTATGAAGAAACTGATTCGAAAGTGCGTAGTATACGATCCCGTTATACTATAAACGTTTCATACTGTAAAGTGGTGCGCGTAACAGGGTATTCTGAGGAGCCTTCATATGAACGCACTTACACACAATCTGCAGTCGCAAGTTCCAGACACCTCACGCAACCATTTATGTCTACAACAGGTAGGTCGTTTATATTTATCTCGCATCACTCGACAACAAACTGCATGCACTTTTATCGCCTCAGGGTATCAGTCTAAGACCACTACAAGGCGTTCTGCACAGTTTGCATGTCCAGTGTACACCTTCCTCCACCTCTACATAAGGTGCAGCTTGTTAACTCTGACATATCATGCTTGGAAGACAAAATACCGCACGCATATCGTCTACGTAAATGTTGTTGGATGATTATTCTTTGCAAATGATTATTATTGGTTACAACTTGCCTGCATATTTACCTCAACCCACTTACATACGCATAAATGTTTGTTGGCACTGCATCATGACGCAAGTGCAACGCGGAATTGCGCGATCGGAATCACCGTTAGTAGGCAGATATATAGACGTTGTGCACCCATTGAAGAAACAGATCTCGATCTTACACATGAGCAACAGTTTGAAGAACTTTTCCCGGACTGCCCCGACTTTCGTTACACGCCAAATTCAGAAAACGCTCCTTGAATGCAGAATTTGACTTTCCACCGCCTTCGATGCAGCACAAACGCGCTGCTTTGGGCGGTGCCAAGGCAGCACAAACGCACAAACGTGTTTCACACGCGCTGCATTCAAGGCGGTCCCGGGCAATTCGAATTCCGGTCAAGGAGCATTTCTGCACGCGGGATCACATAGACGTCATTACCCAACAAAAGAAATAAGGCTGTACTATTTTTCCGTCGTTCAAAATCCAAACTACCAGCACGCCGTTAGGCTTCGCCCTGATGGCGGGCTACTCGAGGCAACGTATGACCTCCCATAACGGAATATGTGCTGTAATGTTTTGCGCTGGTGCGACACTCCTAGTTTCGACAGTGAAGCATTTTGTGTCACTGATTCTTTGTCTGTGTAAAGAAAACGCTTGTCTCTCCCCAAAGCAGACATATCCTGAAAAGAAGTGTTGTACTAACGATTGCTTGCGCTCAGCTGCAGGCTTTCACGTTGACATATACTCATGTTCAGTTTTACATCTAGGCGAAGACGTCTGGAGGAAAAAAAAATGTATATAGAGATGTTTCGGTTTTAAGAACTGCCCCCATGATATATTCACGCATATCGAAAGTTTACGTGATGAAAAGAGTAGAACATGTATATTTCAGTACGTGAAATAAATGTCTGTTTTTTTACGCCTTTTGTGTTGTCTAACGTGTACTGCGGCGAAGCCAAAGGGGTGTGTATGTGTGTAGTCACCTAGGTAAAGTACCTGTGGACCACACTAAATTCGGACCATTTGGTAACCTTGCTTATATGACAAACGAGAAGATGAGGTCACTAACGAAGACGCCATGTCGTTCTCTATGTAAGTATAAGACATTATTTCTCCATCCGCCAAACAAGGTAAGTGGTTGTTTTAAATTTAAGTAGCTTCTGAGAGCGAAAGTAAGCCATCCCCCTCTTTCCCACTGTTCCTCACTTGTTCTGTAGTTGTATGGTGAATGAAAAGTATATTTAGGCAGTGTTTGTGGTCGTACTTCTAGCATTAGAACCCCCCCCCCACACACACACACACATATATATATATATATATATATATATATATATATATATATATATAGTGGTGGGGGGGTTTAGTGGGTACATATAGAAATTAAATTTCTCACAACAAGATGCACCACTGCCTGCCTACACTTTTGAGAATTAAGTAATAAAACTATACTTATAATACAAAACATCGTCATAAATTTGCTGGCTTGCAATGGCGTTACGCCAATAGATTATTTGTAAAGCAGCAGAATTTAAGCTATCGATACAAAATGAGAACTGGTTACAATGAATTTATGCAGATTAGCAGACGGGCTATACATACAATTGGCACTTTTTAATACGCCTGTGTGTTCCTTTAATATGTTCAATATGTAATAAGCCTTTCAGAAAGCAATAATTATTATCTTCCGCAAAACTGGCATGATAAAATTGAGTCGTCACCGATATAAATGTCGTAACAGCGTTACTTATACCCGGCTTTCTCGTGAAACGGTCGAGCTCATGTAGGCTCATATAAGAAACACTGTACTCTGCATATCGTAGAGAGAGAGTGCCGACAAAACGAGCGTATCATTTAATAGCAGTATTGATACTTCTTCTCTCTTTGTAGTTCGCTTGTAGCCACTTATGATGTAACGCAGCTCGAAGCGCTGCTTGAGTGAGAAGCAAGGCGGATCCGTGCAAATTCTAATTGACATACTCTCTTTTTTTTTTTGTGGGTCGGCAGGCTCTTTATAAAATGAATGCATCGACTCAATTTCAGTGTGCCTGCATATTCACTCGTGCACCATGGCGCGTAGCAGGTGCGTCCACTGATAAAGGCTCAGAAACTCATTAAACGCGCGAAAAACGAGCAATTAGACGCTTTCGCAGGCTACGGTGTCCATGCTCCCAATGCAAACGCTCCGGAGATCTTCAGTACCATGTGACAACAGCGCCGCCACTACTGTCGCCCGCCGGAGAATCAGCCGAGATGCGGCGCGGCCGCCTCGTTCACTCCACTGCCCTCTTCTAGTACACTGTACCGGCGTGTTGCGTGTATAGCTGTGATATCTGCACCAACGCATTCGGTCAGGGTGCCAAAAAATAAAATTGTATGAACCTGCGCATGGTGCAAGAATACTTTAGGTGAGCGAACTCCGGTACTACCCGCTACCCGATAATGTTCTGCTTCGAAAGAAGCCCGAGAGATGGCGCTACAAACTTTGCCCAGGTAGATTTAGTGTATATGTTCCTTCACCTAAATATAGCATATCCAGTATCTCTATGTCCCCCCCCCCCCTTTCCGTGTAGGAAAGCCCCGTGACACAGAAAAGTAGCGGCACTCATTTATTGTCGCCATCAAGGGGCTTTATATGCCCCTTAACACCTGCGCCGCACAATCAGCCACCTCCCTTATCACCCTCTCTTTCGCGCAACCGCTCTATGCATATCGTGTGGTTGATATGACGCGCTATAAACAGTTGACTCACATTTGGAAACTGTCACCCACGTGTCGGATGTGCTTTGCGGAATTCGCCAACAGCCCGCCACGGTCCTCAGTCCGGCGAGCCATCTATCGGCAGGCCGCAAACGAGAACATAATCCGTTTGACCACGCCAAGCACTCGCTTGGCGGCGTTCGCTCACCTAAAGTGTTCTTGCACCGCGGACTTGAGTAGAGGGCTCCCGAGTACGAGCGATGAAAGCAATGGATAAGGGTGGCACAATGTGCGAGGTAAGCAGACGCTTTTCATTTGTTTACCGCGTACTATTATTGCGATTCGTGCTCGATCAGCGCCGCCAGTAGTGGCCGTGCGCGTGAATCCTTCGCGACACCGTCCAAGCGCCGCAGCGCCACCATACCAGCTCTCGAGGCCCAGACACGATTTGTTTTGTGTTTTTCATGCATCCTTCTTGCTGTTCAAAAGAGCGTCGCAAGTGTCAACTAGCCAGAAATCGTCGTATTTCTATCCGCCAAGACTGAACGTATATTGAGCTCGACTATCGCCGCATAAAAAAAAGTCACAGTTCCGCCACAAGGGCGAATCAATGAATGCGATAGTAAAGAACTGGAATGTCAAACGAAGAACTACGACCAGCTTGATATTTGCAGCCCGCCGCTGAAGCACAAAGAAGGACGCTCGAAAAAAAAAAAAAAAAACTCGCAGGTGTACAAAGGACAAGCGTGAACTAACGACTGTCCGAGTTGTCATTCCGTCGTGTTTGAGCAAAGCGCTGCAAGTGTCGCGAATGCAGAACCCAACGCTCTTAGATATTTATTTTTCCTTCAAACTGTGGCATGTGGACCGCCCCCTCTTTGTCTCCTGCCGCACGGTGGCCTTTGGCTCGAGGTGTGAATGGTGTCCTCTGCTTTTTTTTTTCGTTCCACAGCAGACATCACGAGCGGATTAAAGGCTGCTTTCTTGCGCGCGTCTCAGGGACAGTTTTCAAATTGAAAGGAAATGTCGGAGCATCGTGTCACTGAAAACGCGCTTTAGCTCCTCCGAAATACGCGAACCCACTTGCAGCGGAAAATTGTGAATTAATAGCTCACCGTTGTTACTCCGGCGCTCGTATAGCACGAGGTTGAATTGTCTGACGTTAATAATGATAATTTAGCGCGAAAAGACACAACTGGCCCACGGAAACACACATCAAAAGTGCTGTTGTGTCCTTCGTTTTTTTTCCGCGCCACATTATGATTATTAACAAGTACCAACTTGCCCAAGAACAGGCCCTTCTGCAGAACATTGTCTATAACGCAGCGGGCCACGGAGCGATGGGTCACTGGTTCTAATCCCCGGTTGGGTGCTTCGAATTTTTTGCGTCCAATTTATTTTTGTGTCTTTTATATACACACATATATAAACGTATACGTACCCAGGACATGACGGTGACGGCAGCAGCGAAAATCCGCTGAGAGTGTCCATATATTATATTTGCTTTTGCAGTGTAACAATGTCGTTGATGTAGTTACAGTTAAACAAATCCAAGACTCAACGTCCTGCTTGTAATCATTCATTAAACGCATTTCTAACGAAAGCCTAAAGGTGATTCGACGCGTCTAGGTCGGCGAGTCTGGGCGGCATTGTACGTTGTACTGTTCCACAGCGACTATGAGATACACCGAGTGCAGAGCCACAGAGGTTATGGCGGAAAGGGTGGAAGAAAAAACGTGGCCTCCGCCATAAGGTCCCGCAAGTGCACTGCCGGAGCGAAACGCGGAGGCCACAGAAATATGCGTTGAATTAGACGCGATCTCGAGATTTGGTGCAAGATAGAGAGAGAGAGAGTTAATAGGTGGAGGAGGAAGCAACGAAAGGGAGAAGGCAGGGAGGTTAAACAGGAAGACATCTGGTTGGCTACCCTACCCTGGGGGATTAGGGAGGGGGACAAGAAATACGAGAAAGAGAGAAGAGAGGGAAAAGAAAAAGGGTGGAAGAGAGACTTACAGTAATTTCACTGCAGCGTGTAGAATTCTACCACATGTCAGAGGCGTTCACACAAGCCTGTCTTTATCAGGAAACACAGCAGGGCTTTCACTGCCTTGTGGGCTGTCGAGGCATGTGGACGTTGCTGTAATAGCACCTGCACAGAAAGAGGCCGATCATCCAGTCGCCACATTGCGTTGGCAAGTACTTGTCTATCTGAGGCAAAACGAGGACAATGGCACAGCAGGTGTTCGATATTTTCGTCGGTGCCGCAAACATCGCACGCTGCACTGTCAGCAATTCGAATTAACGTGGTATAAGCTTTCGTGAAGGCAACTCCCAGCCAAAGGCGATAGAGAAGCGAAGCTGCACGTCGATGTAGGCCGGGTGGAGGCTGGAGTTGTAGTGAAGGGTCGAGCTCGTGCAGTCTTGTACGTCGTATACTTGGTGTGTTCCACTCAGTCAGTGTGAGACTGCGGGCCAGTTGACGTATCTGCCTCGCCGCATCCGCTCTTGAAAGCGGAATCGGAACGCTGTTAGCTTCTTCATGTGACGTGCGAGCAGCATGATCTGCAGAATCATTGCCGCCTATACCACAATGCCCAGGCAACCACTGAAAGACGATGTCGTGGCCTTTTTGTATTAAAAGGTGGCGAAGTCTCACGGTTTGGTAGGTCAACTGGTCGTGGCATCCGCGTCGGAGAACTGATAGCAGGCACTGTAACGCTGTCACCATCGCGCTGGTTTTGAGTCAGAAAACACAGCCCATATACCTAGTCTTTCTTCTCAATTGATGAGTTCCAGTGCATTGCGCAGAGCCTCGAGTTCTGACGTAGATGACGTCGTCACATGTGAAGTCTTAAAACACTAAGTTACCCTTTGTGATGGTATAACCACTGCTCCACCTGAACTAGACGGCGTAGTAGAGCCATCCGTGTAAATGTGCACGTGGTTACTGTACTTTTGTTCCAGTAGGAATAGACTCAGTTGTTTCAGGGCATGTGTCGGTAAGTCCGATTTTCTCCTCATTACTGGAATCATTAAGTGAACTCGCGGCCGCTTCAAGCTCCAAGGAGGAAGCAGTGGCTTTGATGCAGGTGCGTACGTCTCAGTAAACGATGAACGATAATTGTAGACAGTAGTGCCGTATGTCGTGCGAGATCTTTCAGCAGCTAGGCTCGCCAGGTGGTGAGAAGGGGTCTTGGCATAATGCCTGAGGTGCATGCGCATTGTCT